GGCCTTGTAATCCTGGGGGTCTCGGGTTCGATTCCGTGCGGTGCCCGAATTTATAACTTGTGGTGGGCAAGGCCGTGGTCTAGGCAGCCCGGAGTTTTCCTCCGTGGCATCCCACCAATTACTCCATTCACACACAGAAGAATGCAATGGCAAACCACTTCTGGATCATCTGCCAAGAACGTATATGAACAGGTCCCAGTCCGAGAAAAGGATGGAAGGATCCTGTTCATATGGACCTGTCGTCACACAGAACACTACAAATAAATAAACTATACTCGGATTCATCTCCTCAGCGCTTACCTGTTAGAAGTAGCTCGATCAGCTGCACCTTGCTCTTAATGACTCTCGTAACCTCCTGCTATCTTCGAAGTTTCGGCCCTTCTGTTTCGACCTCTCTTCAACTTTTCCCTTCTGCTGACTGCCTAATGACTACGTCTGCATTTCCCCTGAGAGTAAGGTGAACTAGCCTTGCTCTTTAACTCGATGCCAAGATATGACATCAACACATTCCTACATGCAAATGTCTACATCCCTAATTTACATTATGTTAACTAAAAATTAATTCTCTACAATTTTACTCCATTTTTTTAGTTATTTACAACAAAATAATTCTTAATTCTACAGTTCATTGCTATGACGCTCTTTCCTTTACAAAAGTTTTGTGTTCCTAACATATTTTATGAATTTCTTTCTAATACAGTCAAATCAGTGCATATATTTCTTATACACCCAGTTCTTCTGAGAACTGGTATCTACGCTGTCCTCCTGTTTCAGTGGCTGGATTCTAACTCGTAGCTTCTCACTTATGGGGCATAGGCACAGGTTCATTTGTGGTGCAGTGTGTGGAAGATCTTTGATTCTTCCCGTTTTTGACAAATTCGCGTATTTTCCGTTGCTTTGTTCGGAGATATTACGCAAGATCCTGAGATCCGTAGGTAACAAAAGTTTTACCTCATGTTGCGATCTGAATATCTTCGGTACGTTTTACCGTTGAAGTTAATTCGACTGAAGGATTCTCGGGATTTGGATGAGGGACGTTTGTTTGGATATGATTTTTACATTTAGGACGGTTTCTATGTGTATCATTTTGGTTTTTCGTAACAAATTATTACGGTGAAAAGGACAGTGAGAATTGAAGGGATTTCTATGTACCAAGCTGTGTGAACGGATGTCCTGTTCTCGTACTCGATCTTCCATGTGATCGAATCATCATGTTGATGTCCCGATGAAGGCGATCTTCAGCCTCGGATGCTGGATGATCCAACTGAGTGACATCTGTGTTGGTGCTGGGCTGCAGTGTCTGAGGTCAGTGGATCGATCACTACACCAACTTTCGTCGCAAAGTAAATGTAATATTAAATGTGTTGAGATGGTTCTTACTGCCATTTCAGTAGCACAAAAGGTCAGGACGCTGGAGCAATATCACGAAGCCACACAGACAGACAGACAGAATGCATCGTCCTGTAGGTTTATTCTTGTCTTAATCAATTATCGCTGAAGGTCTGCCGATATTGAACAGTGGTCTTCTGCATTGTGACGCCATGATTATAAATGTTCCGGGGATCGTATCTCCTCCTTCTTCAGGACGTAACCCTCCTATGCCCAGTCACATTTAGGAGAAGACTCGACACTGCGTCTCTGATCGCGACATTTTGGATCGACCGAGGCGCCATCTTCCCTTCGTGGCAGAAGGTCGAACCGACTGGACCCCTGGGCTGTACTCTTCGGCGGTGACAGGGGTCGGAGCAAGGGGCGAGTGACGTCACAGATAGACCCTCGAATGCTGGGGAAAGATATCAAACCCGCGGGCTACATGATTCCGTTGAGGTAACGCATTATATTGAATGCAAGATTAAAAATTCTTAAGCGTAAATAATCGTAGAAAATGTAGTTCTTGTATCAACGTCATGTAATCGCCATTTCAGTGCCAGGATAGCGAAGGATACGTCAGTGCATAGGAAAGAATAATGCTCCATTGTCTTACTAAACAGCTGATATATTAATTATCTTTCATCTTAATTGAAAGGAAATTTCTTGACGTCTCGTTTTGCTAGAGATAAAAATAAACATACGAAGTGCACGTTACATACCCCGCCCCTGCCCCCCCCCAAAAGAATCAAAAGCATCGTCGAACATTATTTTGAAAAATTCAAACAGTCGGCCTTCAAGGCGACATTGTTTCACGGACAACAATGATCGGACTTACATTGTTGACAAAAACAGGACAGCGGTCCTTTATTTCTTGTAACAAATATATGCCATTTAATTTTAAATGAAAGATAAGAATATATTCTGTCGCGTTCACGTTAGAAACGTAAAATAGATCCATCTTATTTTTGACGTAAATACGTCTATACGGAAGGGTCGTTCGGCAAAAAACATTGTGACGAAGATGTGTAAGATCCATACCAACAATTTGTAAATATGGACCGACAATGGTCAGATTTTATATGAACTCCTGCGTTCATAACAATGCTTTACTCCTTTACCTAAGAAAATAACTTTTACGTCATCTGTTTACACTGCATTGTTGTGTTTCATTATTGAAGTCAACAATACGCTTTCGTTATAGCGGAAAGAGCTGAGCTGTGAGTCGTTTGTAGAAGACGTGCGTCGTAGATTAGATAATTTTGTGCTCTTAAAATCCTTTTAGAATATCACAATTTCTTATCTTGTATAAGAATCATTAAGAAATCTGTGAAACTGCCCTCCACTCTCTCCGTTTCAGTTTTGATTAAACTGATCATTGCCGGTGGACGTCGTGGTCTCTTACAATTGAACAAAGTTTGAGGTTAGGGACAAAGGCGAATCTCACTTCACGCTATTTCTGCGTCTGCGCATTGCGTCATATTACGTAGAGATAACAAGATGGACGACATTGAAGCTAAAAGAGTCCGTAATGCAGACATATATGACACAGTACAGAAAACGTAAAAAAACTTAGAAATATTAAATTATGAACCTGAAGTTCCCAAGAAAATACCAAAAACTAATCCTGAACGAAAATGGGAATATATTTATTGCCTAAATATAATTTAAATACAAAGACGTATTTACGTCAGATTCTCCACTGTAATTTTTTTTTCCAAAACTTCAATGGTTTATGTTTGAAGTTGCAATATTTTGTATAAGGAAGAATTTGGCTGGACACATTGTCTGCATTTTGCAGGTAATAGGACCAGTAGAATTTATTTCAACAAATAATTGTTTCCTTTGCCTGCGGTTAAATAATATAACTTGAATAATAATATACTCGATGTTTCTATGGCGTTTGTTACAATCCAATTAACATAGAAACAGGAAACATTTACCATTGCCATCCATATTTTCCTCAAGTAACTATTTCAGATTCAATTAGCTGGTCTAAATTTCAACGTAGACCAATAAATATTTTGTTTAAAACGAGACGTAGGTAGTCGCTAACCTGAATCTGAAACAAATTAGTAGAATACTTCGTCAGTAAGGGATGAATTTCGTACTAACATGACCTCGCGAAATGAAGCCGCCATGTTAGAACAGAGAAACAAAGGAAAGTTCAAGAGACCCTGGGGCCTGGGGCCCGTTTCATGTGCAGGGAACATTTCGTCTTCCGTGTGGTGGGGTTATCGGGCGTGCTCCTTCGGGTAGAGAACCACGTCGGCGTGAAATGGACGACAAGTGATGTGTCGACCTACGTTTATATCCGAGTACGTGTATCGGAAGCCTCTAACGTAGATAACTGTAAATAGAAGTGGTTTTCAGCAAAGCCTCAAGTCTGACGTGGCCGACTTCTCTGTCCTCAGGGGGACCACCACCAGCGGTGGCTCACCAGCACAGAGGAAGCCCGGGGGATATGAAGGTCACGACTTCAGAACTCGGTGGGACCAACGGCGACAGGAGAGCGACCCGGAGCCCCTGCTCGCCCGACACGAACAGCGGTAACCTTGCAATTACGAGCGTCCCGAGGGCAGCACTGTCCGCGGGCCTTCTTCACCACGGCACCCCAGAAGGCGTGGCGCCCCTCCTGAGTCCCCATAACCAGATGTTCCGGAACCCGGATTCACTGCTGTCTGTAACCCACACGGCTGCTCTCATGGCCGGAAGGGCCGTGGGTTCGAACCCACACAGGCTACCTCTCAGCCTACGCACGACACTCGCCTCTGGACACGCTCTGTTCCACCATCAGCGTGCAGGGAGTATTTTCAACTGGTCTTCGCCTTCGGTGTCGCCACCGCCTGTAGTGACAACGGATTCCGCAAATAACAACAACAGAACGGCGCTGAAGTCGGCAGCGGCGAAGAGAAACAACAACAACCACGTGGTGACCAGCAGCAGCGGAGGCGTCTCGGCTGTGAACAGGAAGAACCAGGCGAACGCGAGGAAGCGGGCGTCGAGGAACGTCGACAGCGTCGAGCCGACCATCATCGAGGTCGCGGCTATGGCACAGATCACCACTGCCCCGCCTTCGCCCCCAACGTCAGGTGCGTAAACACGGCGTCTGCCTAGGTTACCAAGGTACACACGCTCTGAGCGCAAGGACCGACATTGAATCGGGGGCATTTGGTTGCGAAAGCTCATTGCCACCACATTAAGGGATCTTAATAAATTACTTCTGGGGGCCTCGGGACTGTCCTAATGTGTCTTCGGTGGACGTGAGAGCAGCTTTGTATAGACTGGTTGTAGGTTGCTGGCATAGGTTCTCACTTGTTTGTTGTTCAGAGACTATTAACACTGATGAAATCGTTTCTGGAAGAGACATGGGCTCCTTTTAGCCAAAAGGATAACAAAAGACTCTCAAAAACATTCACAACGCGGGCAAACAGCACTGAAAAACTCTCCTAAACGAACTCAGAGCATTTGGCGAGACGTTCCCCACCTCTACGAAACCAGAAGGGCCCCTAAAAAACGCCAGTCCCTATCCTAAGTCACGTGAATCAACCACATTTTCTTAAAATCCATTAATCTTCCCGATTGTCCTCTTCCCTTCAGTCTTACAAACGAAACTCGGAGTCAGAATCGCTCGTATGCGTACTACATACCCCGCCCATCTTGTCATTATAATAATATTTGATGGAGAAGTTGAATAACATGTATTTTATTGCATATCGTAAAAAAATAAATTTCACGTCAGTGAGACTGCGGTTCTGTGTCTTGTCCTGGGTTCGACATTAAAATTTCGTAACAAGTAAGAATTCGCTGCTGGTAACTACAGCCTGTCGAAACTCTTTCCTCAAGTAATGAAATATTTTGGACTGTCATTGTTTCCTTAGTAAGGACCAGACAGTTCCATTCTGTCCGTTGATTGGTTAC